GGAGACGGCACTCCTCGTCGTCGCTCGACAGGCCGTCGTCCTCGTGGTGGTCGTCGCTACTCAGGTCGGCCATCGTGTGGTTGGTGCGAGCCCGGAGCGCGATTAAAAATGCAACATACATGCAAGAAAAACTGCAATATGGGCGCTCCTAGCCGTGCATGCGGGACCAGTCCGAGGCGGACATGCCGAGGCAGCCGTTGCGCGTCTCCTGGGCGATGGTCGACTTGGGCCCGCCGTAGTTGTGGCCCGGCAGCACGAGGCAGCTCGGGTTGCAGCAGCGGAGCTTGCCGAAGGACCGGAACATGTCCTTGGGGCTGCTGTCCGGGAGGTCGATGCGGCCGCAGGAGCCGATGAAGAGCGTGTCGCCGGAGAATAGATGCGTGTCGTCGACGCAGATGCACTGGGAGCCCGGCGTGTGGCCCGGCGTCGCGATGAACCGGACCTCGATCGCGCCGCCGAGGCGGATCACGTGGCCGTCGGCCGTCCGCTCGACGGCGGCGGCGACCTGGGCCGACTCGCGGGCCACGGCGTCGGCGTCGCCGGGGTTGACCCAGATCTTCATGGCCGGGTCCTCGGCGACGAGGCTCTTGACGCCCGGCACGTCGATGCCCATGGCGTCGAAGGGCGGCGGCGGCCGGCCGCCGATGTGGTCGAAGTGGTAGTGCGTGACGACGTTGCCGATCCAGTGCAGACGGTTCGACTCGATGACGCGGCGCACGCCCCGGATGTCCCAGGCCGCGTCGATGGTGAGGCAGTCGCGCGAGCCGACGTCGCCGACGACGTAGATGAAGTTGCACATCTGCTGCGCGCTCTGGAAGATCTGGCCCTCGACGCCGTCCTGGGGCCGCACGGCGATGTCGCGGCCCGGCAACAGCTGGCGCACGATGAGGCCGCTCGACGGCGACTCGTCGAGCTGTTTGAGGAGCAGCTTCGCGACGCCGTCGGCCGCGTCGAGCGCCGCGGCGCGCCGCAGCGCCGCGCCGGCCTCGTCGAAGCGCCGCAGGCCCAGCAGCGCCTCGCCGTGGCGCGCGTGGCCCCGCGCGAAGTCGCGCTGCAGCTTGACGCAGCGCTCGCCGTCGCGCGCGGCGGCCGCGAACTTCTTCCGCCGCAGGAGCGCCGCCGCGCGGTTGCTCAGGAGCTTGTAGAGCTCCGGGTGGCCCTGGCCCGCCTCGATGGCCGCCGTCCAGTGGCCGATGGCCTCGTCGACGGCGCCGCGCTTGAAGGCCTCGTTGCCCTGCTGCTTCTCCCGTTCCATGACGCCCGGCGCGGCCGCCGGCGGCGGCGGCGGCGCGGGCTCGGGCTCGGGCTCGGGCTCCGGTTCCGCCGCGGGCAGCGGGCGCAGGGAGATGGCGCTGCACCAGCCCTTGCAGGGCTTGACGAGGCGGATCCGCTCCTTGCCGTTGGGGAGCGTCTCCCGGCCGTCGTCGCTCTCGCAGGTCGTGCCCGGGGGCAGGTCCGAGACCTCGGGCGTCGTCAATTGGGCGCCCTCGCGCACGAGGGCGCCCTTGCCGCGGACCATCCAGCGCGAGGTGGCCATCGAAGCGCGTCTCTGTTTCTTCCTAGCCCGCCGAAACTAGCTGGCCACCATCGAAGAGGAGTTTTTCAAACTGCAGCAACATGCACTGGCAACATGCGATTAGTGAAGCGCTCGTCGCTCCCGTCGATTATTGAAGAGCAACCCTAGAGTATGGAGCATGGCAGCTCTCGATGACGACGCCACAGCGTTCGTCGCTGCCGTCTTCGACGCCGGCCGACCCACCGTCGATGCCGGCGCGAGCGAGGAATTGATCTTCGTCGATGACGACGACCTGGCACGCGCTCGCGCCGCCGTCGACGACGATGCCGCCGTCGATTTCCTCGGCGGCTTCCGAGGCATCCTGCCGGCGGCGGAGCTCGACGGCGAGCGCTCGGCGTGCCTCGCCGCCGCGACGAGCCGCCGCGCGGCGGCGGCGCTCCGCGACTCGCGGCCGCGCGCGGCCGCCGCCGACGCGTGCCGCGCGCTGGCGCTGCGGCCGCGCGACGGCGCCGCCTGGCTCGTGCTGTCGCGCGCGTCGCGCGGCGCCGGCGACCACGAGACGGCTCGTCGCGCCGCCGCCTTCGGGCTGCGCTCGGAAGCGACGGCCGACGTCGTCGCGCGAGCGCCGCGGTACGAGGAGGACGTCGATGGCGGCGGCGAGCGGCTGCTCCGGACGGACCTGCGCGCGGCGCTCGACGCCGCGGAGTCGGACGGAGACGCGGCGCGGCAGCGGCCGGCGACGTCGGGCCCGGTCGCTGTCGTCGGACTCGAGCCGCTCGTCGTCGTGCCCTCGGCCGCGGCGTCGACCGGCGGCGTCCTCTGGGACGGCGGGCTGCTGCTGGCGCACTGGCTCCTGTCGCGCGGCGAGCTCGTCCGCGGCAAGCGGGTCCTCGTGCTCGGCGCGGGCGTCGGCCTCGAGGGCCTCGTCTGCGCGAAGACGCTCGGCGCGGCGACCGTCGCGTTCACGGACTGCGATACCACGGTGCTCGAGGCGCTCCGCGCGAGCCTCGAGCTCAACGGCGTCGAGAACGGGACCGTGGAGCGCCTCGATTTTACCGCGCCGCAGCCACGCGGCGACTTCGACATCGTCCTCGGCGGCGAGGTCTGCTACTACGACGACGCGGCGAGGCTCGCGGACTGCGTCGACGCGCGGCTCGGCGCCGCCGGCTGCGCCGTCTTCGTCGCCGCACGGGGCCGGCCGGGTCTCGCGGCGTTCCTCTCGCGTTGCGCCGCGCTGTTCCGCGTCGCCGCGGCGCCCGCGCCCGCCGCCGTCGTCGCGGCCGCGCGCGCGCACGAGCCCCGGGCGGCGCGGCGCGCGATTCTCGACGTTGTCGTGCTAACACGAAGATTGTAGGGTGAGCCCCGGGCGGCACGGCGCGCGATTCTTGAGGTTGTCGTGCTAATTTTCTAAAGAGTGACACAGTGGCGTTCGGTGTCGGACCATGTCCCTGCCAATAGTCCGACCCGGCTAAGCGCCTGCAACCGCGCACTAGTGCCGTGCCACAGCCGGCGGGATATGTTAGCACCAAGGAGGCCTCGAGACGCTCTCGTGCCTCAGGCTAGCGTCGTTTTCAGCGATCGGTGCAAAAACAAGTCAAAAAGCTCGAGGGTGCACCTCGAGTCCGTCCATCGACGACGGACCCCTCCTGCCGGAGTGCACACGACTCACCATGGCTGAAGCGACGCGGCGCAGCGCGCGCGGCCAGGTGGCGCGCGTCCAGTTCAGCCACGAGCACTACGATGCGGAAGAGGAGGCGAAGCGCCAGAGCAAGCCCAAGCGCAAGCAGGGCCGCGCGGCGCCGCCCAAGAGCAAGTGGGCCGAGTACGAGCGGCGCGTCTCCGCGGAGATCCACAAGGCGCGGGCCGCGCGCGCGTGCCGGCGCCCGACCGTCCCAAACACACTAGTGCCGAACCCGCGACCCCAGGTTTCTTCATCGAGACGTACGCGCACGACTACAACGCGTCGCGCAGCGCGCGCGGCCAGAAGATCCGGCCCGAGGGCGAGCTCGCCAAGGCCAAGGCCAAGCTCCGCGCGGCCAAGGACGCCATGCGCGCCGTGCTCAAGGAGCTGGGCACCATGCACGGCGACGTGCGCTGGGGTAAGCCCGAGGACGATCTCGAGGTCGACGACTCCTGGAAGAAGTGGACGCCCGAGGCGCTCGCGGAGCACGCGGCGGCCGAGGCCGCCAAGGCCGCGACGGCGGCGCTCGGGGGCGGCGCGGCGGACGGCGCGGCGGGGGCCGAGGCGGGGGCCGAGGGCGCGGGCGACTCGGACGACGACTCGGGCGTCGACGTCGAGGACGTCGCGTGCAGCATCTGCGGCGTCTTCGAGTCGACGGAGGACAACGACATCATCATGTGCGACCGCACGAACTGCTTCCGCGCCTTCCACGTCAACTGCGCGGACCCGCCCCTGACGCCCGAGGATCTGGGCGGGCCCGACGACGACTGGTTCTGCCACCAGTGCAACTGCCTCTACAACTGCATCGAGCACATCAACGAGGAGTTCGAGGCCGACTACACGGAGACGGGCTGGGCGCGCGTCTTCGCCGAGGAGGAGAGCGACGACGAGGGCGACGGCGGCGGCGGCGACGCGCCGGGCGACTCGATCCTCACGATGGACCTCGGGTCCGGGTCCGACGACGACTCGGACTTCGGCGACGCGGCGGCGGCGGGCGGCGGCGGCGACTCCGTCGACGGCTCCGACGCGGGCGGCGGCGGCGACTCCGTCGACGACTCGGACGACGACTCCGAGAGCGGCTGCTCGTCCGCCGTGAGCGACTGCTCCGGCGACGACCCCGCGCGCTACGGCGGCCCGCCGAAGCGCGACCGCGAGGCCGTCACGACGGAGAACATCGTCGAGGGCCCGCGGAAGCGGACCAAGGTCGACTACAACGTCCTCAACGCGACCTTCTCCGACTCCGAGGAGTCCGACGGCGGCGCCTACGCCGGCGGCAAGTGAGCCCCGCGGTCCTTAAGAGAACAGCTGGCGCAGGAAGTCCGCGGCGTCGCCGAGGTAGGCCGCGGCCTCCGTGAGGAAGGGCGCCTCGAAGGGCAGCGCCTGGAGCTGGGCCATGAGCGCGCCGAGCCCGAGGAGCTCGACGAGGTCCAGGTCCGCGTCGAGGAACTCCGCGGCCTCGAAGTAGCGCGCGATGGCGAGGCCCGCGGCGAGCGCGCCCGCCGCGGACGTCGCCTGGCCCGGCGCCCGCAACACGACGTCCGGGTCCGCGCAGGCCGCCGCCGTCGCGACGTGCTCCTGCTCGTCGTCGCGGATGTTCTCGAAGACGTCGAGGAGCGTGTCGCACGCGTAGGCCCGGTGCCGCTCCGACGTCCGCATGTCGTCGAGGAGCGGCCTGAAGACGTCGCTGCCGTAGTAGGCCCGCGCGATGGCCGGCGCCTCGAGCGCGGCGAGCGCGGCCGCGTTCGCGTCGACGAACTCGCCGTAGGTGTCGACCGCGTGCGCCTCGATGAGCTCGGAGAACGTGTAGGCCGTCGTCGGCGACAGGAGCCAGAGCGCGATGAGCACCCAGTAGTAGATGATCGCCGCGTGCTGCGCGAAGAAGCGGTCCGCCCAGCGCCGGTCGCCGCCGAGCGACTCCATGACCAGCAGGTGGTGGAACTCGTTGACCTCCTGCGCGAAGTGGACGCGCTTCGCCTCCGCGGACCGCCGCCACCAGCCGAGCGTCTCGTAGAGGTGGAGCATGAGCCGCGCCGTCGCGCGAGGACGAAGCTCGCGGCGCCGCGCCCGCCGCGACGGCGGGACCGAGCGCCATCGAACGGTCCAAAAATTAGCCGAATCCGTCGCGATCGGGCCGAGCGGCCGAGCGCGCCGGTCCCGCGGGTCCGCGGGCACCACGACGCGACGTCCCCGCGTCTTCCGCGCCGCCGCGACCACCGGCGGGGTCGGTCCGAAGCACCGGTGCGTCCTCCGGCGCCGCGGGCCGCGCGCCGACGGCAAAGCGCCGGCGTCGCGCCCCGGAGCGACGCCTCGGGCCGCCGAGTGCTCTGCATTTTGCACGACGACGCTCGTCGTGAGCCCGTGCAGGGACGGCGACGGAGGCCCGGCGGCGCGCGTGCGGCGCACGGACGCGCGCAACCCGCGGTGCGGGCGATATATGACGGATTAGGACTTAGCAAAATTTATCTCGTGAGGCCGTGAGAGCATGCCGGGCAAGTGCTTGCTAAAAGCGATCGCTAAACCACGTCTCCCAGCGTCTCCGCCGGCCGTCCAGCGGGTCGCGAGCTCCGGCCACGGCTCCGCCCGCCGGTCCCCGCGCCCCGACGCGGACGGCCCGTCGGCTGCGGGGATCGCTGCGGCGACCGGTGGCAGCCCCGCGGTCGGCGCGCGGTCCGCGCCGACGGAGGCATCGGCCGCGTCGACGCGGTCCTCCAAATTTTCGATCGGAGGTCTGGGAGCGGTCCTGGGGACGCTCCGGGGGAAGTGCACGAGGCGCGGCCCGAAAACACCGGGCACGGTGTTTTCGGGTTTCGTGTCAACTTGGACTTCAAAGAGAATGTCCACAACTCGCCAGGTCTCGAAGCGACTCGATCTCGTGCGCCGCCGCGTCTCTCGCCCCGCGCGCGCGCCCCGGGGCCCCGCGCGGCCCGCGCGCCCCGCGCGACGCCCCGCGCGCCCCACGAGCCCGCCCGAGCGCCGCCACACACCCACAATCACCGTTTCGCTCACAGGTGCTGATCGATTTGTGTCAAGCCATGGCCAAGGACAAGGCGTCGACGCGCAAGCCCCGCCGGCGCAACGCCCGGGCGCGCGACGACGGCGGCACGCGGCGCGCGACGGAAGCGACGCCGCCCGTCCGGGCGTCGAAGCGACTGTCCGTGCAGGTGTCCGCGGCCGCGTCCGCGTTCCTCGTGAACTTCCGCGTCCGCATGGACGCGATCGCGTCGATCTTCGTCAACTACCACGAGGAGCGCCAGGAGTTCGTCGCGAAGACCGAGGCCGCGGACCTCATCGAGCAGAACGTCGCCGAGATGATGGGGGTCGTGTACCGCGGCGCGTCCCCGCGTCCGCCGGCGAGTTTGAAAATTTTCCCGCCCCGCCCCGCGCCTCGCGCGGTCCCTCGCGCTCGCCCCG